CACGCCTGTACGGTTCGCGATTGTACATATAATCCCATTGTGTGGTTACTATAATTATCGAAAACCCTGGAAAATTCGTGGGATCGGTAAGCCGGATTGAGCGAAAATTGGGAAACGATAATATTTGGGGAATATTTGTTTGGTCAATAACCGAAGTAAACCGTGCTAGAACGTGAGCGAAACAGTAATTAAGCCGTCTTTTGATTACTCAATTAGCCGAGTCATTTATCTTTCGTTTAAAGAACACAATAGAAATATACAAACCAGTTTGAAAGTATTGGAATTGCATTGAAAAAAATTACATCCTATGCACCGATGCATTAAACTGCATCATCTTGACATATTATTGACTATTTGATGGATACCCAGATATCCAAGTAAATTTTCGCTAATTACGTATCTCATTAATCAAAAGGCTTCAATTAGCGGAGTCCGAGTTTTGACGACGCAAACGGATATTCGGGGTAACTTTTCGGACATCGATCACCGAATCGTACCGATTACATTAAACAAACTTCTCAGCACGGTTAGTTGAATACCATGAGGCAGATTGCGCGTTGCGGTCGGGAATGTCGCAAACACTGACAGGGAAGCAAGAAAATTTGCATAGCTATGTGCAAGCTAAACGACGACGTTACGTCTGTTCACCGTTTACTGATTCGCTTAAATTTACCGAAACTCCCGATGCTTGGCTTCTTGCAGTTTGTTGCTACAAATTATTTAATCCGGACCAAAAGCAATCGAGAATCGTGTTCCTTTAATCCTTTGATTCGTTGATCAATTAACGCGTTCGTCCGTGAAACATTCGTTACGATTGCCACGAACAGCGATACCAGTGAAAAGAAATCCTTTGACCGAGATAATTTGTTGAGTTAACACTATTGAGAGAAATGAAAGGACGAAAATTTATAACGATTGCGTTAATTTCGCTTTGAATCGAATCTAGGCTCAAGAAAATAGAGGAAATGTGAGGAAATGCTACTTCCTGAAGACAAGGTTCATGCTTAGATAGCTTAACTCGGGTTATTCGGTCGTCGAACACGAGGAATGTAGTCTTTCCAGGAAATCCAAGGTGAAATTCTTCGGTCGTGGAGCTTCCGTTTGAAGCAACAGATTCCGGAACGCGTTGCGATGTCGGGTTAGGCGATCATTTTTTAAAGTTTCCAGTTCGCATTTTCATAATATACTACCAGGTGGAGGTATCGCGTATGTCGTATTCAATGCTGATATTTTTCGTCATAGAATTTCACTTTACCAGAACCGTGTTATATAGGCGGTGTACAATCAATACCGTATTCAGAGAGGAAAGGGTTAAAGGAGTACGGGATGGTAAATCGAGGAATACGAGTGGAGTAACCGCGGAATTATCGAGTTCGTAGCCAGTTAAGCCTAATATCAGCAAAACGAATTGATAGCGTTGCAAACATTCGGGATTCCGAAACGCCACTCTTGCAAGCGCACGCTCGTTGCTCGCCATTATCTCCGCTAGACAGACAGACGCAAACCGGAGGGATGAATGCATCCAGCCATCGCGATAATTACTGCCGAAGGTATTCCTTGCCGCGAGAATGAGACGGCGGTATCCTGCCGCCAATTTGTACCCGACCATGTATCGTACTTAATGCCAGAAGTTGTTTCGCTCTCGAGAGGCAAGAAGGCTGAATCGTTCGAATTAATCTCATTTCACTACGAATCACCATCAATTCTACAATTTACATTCGAAAGCTTACTATTCATCAGTGTTGTAACGTTTCAACGCTTTTTCGTTCGAATTAAACGATGGTACGAGCAGAAGATAGACGCAGGAATTGAGTTTCGACAGCGGATAGGGGATGAAATTTCTCGACGTAGGTTAATGGACGAATTAGGCAGCGATTTACGATGCGTGCCATGCTGGTTGCTGGCATTAAAATTGATAGCCGTGCTACATTTATTAACCCCCGTAGCTAGCTCACCATCCACGCTGCGTACGAACTTCTACCCTCGTAAATGTTACACAAGACGATGATGCTATTCCCCGAACTAACCACCCCAACCAGTGTTTAATACACTGTTTAATTTTCATTCTGTTCTGTGCCAATTTTAACACCTTCACCGCTGAGAGGGTTAACAATAACTGACGTCTCGAATTGAACGCAATAATAAGTACAATATTTATTATCAAAATTTCTGTGAAACAGCCTCGAAGCGTGAATAGTACCGCAAAAAATCGATAACATTAATTCATTATGCTTTCGAGGCCAGCTGTTCATTATTATAGCCTCGGGGGCCATTATCTTTCCAATAAAGTATATATTAGCTAGCTTTATTCGTTGTGCTCCTTCTGAATAATAGTGTGAAAGTTATAACCCTCGAAACTGTGCTACCTACTTCCCTCGAACGAATGGTATTCAAATTTCTTTCGGAAGATCTGAAATACTATTCTGTTTCATTGCTCGTCTTGAAACACGTTGCGTATTCATTCGAACAGTCTGGCTACGAAGAATACTTACAAATATATCTTGTTACGAAGGATTATTCACAACGGATTGTTGCTACTGTACGCGGTGGACACGCTCCATGACATCGTGAACGTGACCGCCAGCAAGGATTGGGAACTTTCGTGCTTCAAATTGACGAAGGACGTGTTCAGTGAAATCGTTGGTGCTCTATACGTGCGTCAATACACCCCTCAATATTTAGAGACTCTAGCCAATAGGGTAAGGAAGAGAAGAATGATCAAAATTATCATTCATCCGAAGAGTCATCGATCTATCACCTATGCTAATGATATGCATCAAAGATGAACAGTTGGAGCAATGTCCTGAAATTGTAATTCAAACAAATAAGGGTAGTGTCTTATTTGAGATCCTTAATCCTTTCTCTGCGACAAAGTTTGCTGCCAGCATGCTGGTAGAAAGCTTCGCGTTGATGTTAAATATTCTAATTAGCTTTAAATTTTTATCACCCTTAATTCATAGAGGAATAAACATCATTTATGTTGTTTAAACCAGAATTCTGATATAGGACATTGCTCCAAGCGATTGCCCTGAAGTTCACCACTGTTCTATGCACTCTTGTAACTTAATAATGCACAAACTCAACTCTTGTAGTACACAGTAATAAGTACATTGTACAGTATTGCAACTCGAACGCAACAAACAGTAATCGCAACCTTTTATTTAAGATATCCTTTCAGTCATCATTTCAGTTTAAAATCCAATGACTATCAGTGAAGACATTAGTGATCTTTATCGAGTTAATCTGCTGACAGAGAGTAAACGGAGAAAATTATCTTTGGAATAGGTGGGAGGGCTGTTCGAGCGAGTGAAGGAAACGGTAGCCGAGCGTGTCCTGGTGAAATCCTGGCTAGACGAGGAGACAAGGACACAGGCGTTGTTGAAGCTGAACTCATTGCGGGGAAGATTTCACGTTTGGCCTGGTTTTTACAACGAGACCCTGTTGGCCCGTGAAATGGCCGAGGTGATGCCTTTCTCCATGCTCTCTTACACTTGACATTCAGTTTCAGTTTTTCCCCGTTGAACACTGCTAACAACAATTTCCCCAGAATGTCCAGTTAAATTAAGAAACGCGTGTGAAAATGATTTTTCTGTTCTGTAATCAAACACCTGGAAGACCATAAACACTTTCCCACGTTTTTCGTGACCGAGTGTCGTTTGCGGTAGGTGGAGATCGATCCGGAGGATTTCTTCCGCAGCGTGTTGATGAGGTTTCGACAAATTCGCACGGTGGATGACAAGGTTCTACGGAGGAACATGACGGAAAAGTAAGCGACACAAATAAACGAAATTTGACAAAATTGTGTAGGCGTTTAAGTGGAGAGGGAGAGGAGGGTTTCGTCTTCCCGGACGCCTTTAGTTCGGGCCGGGGACCGCTAGGTGGCGGCGAGATGACAGTGTTCTCGCTAGCGGTCGCAGTTCAAATATATAAAAGTTCCGAATTGGGCAGGGATCGTCTGTTAACAGCCCCACTGACGAGTCTGACAGACGATCCCGAGACGAAAACGCCTTCTTCTCCCCTCTCCTACAATTGCATTTTCTTTTTTCAGACGTCGACATCCCTACAGCGTGAATGCTTATTACGAATCTTCTACGAACACAATCGGTAAGAATATTTCTTCCGGGTTTCACTTCATTCGCCGAGCATTTGTCAATTTCTTTTTAGGCATTCCATTAGCGATGATGGTGGCATGGGCATGGTCCTGGGACAGTGGTCCAGCCTACGCAGCACACGCGACACTCGGATCAGTGATCGGCCACGAGATTCTACACGCTTTCGATCTTCATCGACGTCGACTGCCACTAGATCCCGATTTGAACGTCGATCAATGGCTCTGGATCACGCCAGAATCTTGGAAGAGACTAGAAGCGAGGATCGAGTGTGTCGCGAGGCTATACGCGAGGAGTTTCTGGAGGAAGGTTCAATTTTATGGAAACGACGTTGCTGTACAGGTAGAAAATATTTTCTAACGTAATCGATAAGTTCAGCTATTGATATACGAATAAATAATTGTTCGTAGTTCGATTGGAACGTAACGAGGAACGAGAACGTCGCTGACATCGGAGCATTGCAAATTTCTTATAAAACCTGGCACGCTCTGACGAACGGGAAGGATCGGACTCTTCCTGGATTCGAAGGACTTCGACCGAGTCAGCTTTTTTTTATAAGCGCCGCCCAGGTAAATTCTACTTCTCTGATTAATTCTTTCAATTTTGATGATGAAAATTTTGAATAATTCTGATATCTTAGACATACTGTTCTAATATGACTGCCGAGGCCTACATTCTCTCCGTTGAACTCGATTATCACACGCCTCAGCCTGAAAGGTACGTTGCTTTTGTACCAAACAAAAAACCGATGAATTTTAACAAATTTTTAATTTTTCATCTGTAGGGTCAACGGGATAATGATGAATTCCCAGGCGTTCGCAGACGCGTTCCGTTGCCCGATCGGAACGAAAATGAACCCCCCGAACAAGTGCACCACTTGGTGATGATCAGTTCACCGAAAACGTCAGACTTCATTCGCATCAATATTCTCGATTCCTGGGATTCGACTCGAAAAACGGCGTGTTGCAGTTGGTGACGGCCCGAGCGACAAGGGTTGCTTAGTTTTGTCAACGATTTTCGAGCGATCCTGCGTCGGAGAAAATCGATTCAACTACCATCCTCTAGTACGCACACCTACATCTAACATTTCTACGAGACAAATTGCATTTTCAATAACTTTATTTTGTTTTCCAGAGATTCTGCTTGAACCAGGAGGAGAAAGATCGTCGAATCGATATTCGATCGTCGATTACGAAGGATCGATCGATAGATAAGCTTTTTCAGAGTCTACGATAACGAGTGAATTCGTTCGAATTCGTTAACGTTAATATCTCTCCCTACGACGCCTTTTAGAGGTCCTTAGAATACTTATCATAGTGAAAGCAATAAAATTATACGAGAGAACAGACGAGTGAGTGATACAAGCAAAAGAAAATTTAAAAAAATGAAAAAAAAATAAGAAAAAAAACGTACACGTACATGTAAGCAGATTATAATGCGCTTCGATCGTTCAGTTTGCAAAGGAATCGGTAGATATCAGTAAGCTTGATGAGGGAATTAGCGATCGACGTTGTTTCTTTAGCGGAACGAGCATTACTGATCGACAGATATGATTGTATCGTGCTCGAGCACCGAATAAATCGAAATTAGAGTCGAACGAATTGGTTCTTCGATAGGAAGAAGATTCGAAACAATCAACTTCAATCTTAGGGCAAAAAGTTTGCGTATTTTTCTTGGATACTCGACAATTTCTAGCCTTTTGCACTATAAACTCACCGCTTCGAAGACACTATTTTTACTATTTTAATCTTTCTCTATTGTCATTGAACGATATAACATAATAAAATTAACATTTTCATCAAAAATAAAATCCAATTGTGACAATATTGAAAATGATGACAGGATGAATTTGAATATTAATTTCACTGAAGTTTATCTTTAAATATTAACAATTTCAAATAACCGCAAGCAATAATATTACATATTTGTATTTTATATCGAAAGATATAAAATAATTACAGTGCAAAGAGCTAGAGTTTCTCCAACAACGAATGATTGAAGCTGGTTCAAAGATTCGTCGTTTGAAATTGTTCGTAAAGACGGTTAATTAAATCTTTTTCGGGTTGACAAAACGCGATTTGTAAGCACTCACGAAGCGAATCGTTTAGTTTCTCGCGCACCGATTGTCTTCGCTCTTATTAGTCTGTAAAGATTGTAAAGATTGTAAATAACGGGTTCCCGCCCTTCTCTCTCTTCACCCTAACTTTCTTCAGTTTAGTTTAATTAACTGAAAAAAATGCGAGTACTGTGGGATCGAAACCGTCACAACATTATTCCTTTTTGTCATTGATGATCAGAATTTCGAATAACAAATTAAAAAATGAAATTGAACAATGAATTGTCTATTTTTAATTACTTGGTAGTCGATCTATTAACTTTAGAAAGATTAAGATGATTGATCGACCCCACTAATTAATAAAGAAAATTACCAAAAGATTATTTATCGAGCGGTCACGTGCAAAGCTTTGTCTCTCTAGGGTTAAACTGGCTTCCCCAAAAAAGAATCGAAAATGTTTGATTTCCAACGCTATCACGAACTCCCGCAGTACCGTACTCAACCATTCCGTGTGTTGGCAAGCATGGTTCATTGCTCCGTGTTGATTCAACGGGGGGTTGTTTTAGAGAGCAAATTAATTAACTCTCGTGCTTTCATTCACCTGTATTTCGCTCAGTTTTCCTTCGTACGAACACGAATTTCGATTGAAGCTTCGCTTTTATTCGTGACACCGTTTCGCCTCGGTTCTCGATGGAAAATCGGCTTTCAGTTTTTGATCTCCAATCGATCCCGACGAGCAGCTCACTACATTTTTTTAACAATTAACTTCTTCCAACCCTATGCTGATGTTGGAAGGGTTAATTATTATCGTTGCTTCAAGACACGATAGTTTGGGAATAGTTACTAAATTTTCAACGATTCTTTTGCGATTGAAAAGTATTTTAAAGTACCATGCGCCGCGTGGGTCATTGATGGCTCAAGAAATGCGTTCGCATATTTTCTTTGTTTGTACTACAAAATACACGTTCCTTTTATTAAACGTTCCTTGCACAAATATTCACGTTTGCAACGCTGTTCCACCTATTTCCCGTCGAGCTTGTATCAAATTCAGTGAAACAGATCAGTGCGCTGTTCGTCGCGACGCTCGTGATTCCCTTTGGTCGTCGAACGGAGACGTTGGTTCGCAACTTGGGTCGGCAGCTACCGATCGTGTTGCAAAAATCAAATTTCCGCGAACCGCAGAAATTTCATCGTCGTGAGCCGACGACTAGCGAAGGTTGTTACAATTTTAGTGCGTTTACGCAAGAATCGCGATCTGTGATATTCTTAAGCAGTACTTAAGCAACTCGAGGATCCCTTCCTTCTGTTCATTCTCGATGGTTGATTAAAAAATGAAAATTATAAATTCTGATTGGATTGGTTAAATATATTCGATGGATCTTATAGATCATCGAGGATGACACTTGGACGATCCTCGTCGAATCGAAAGCATAAAGTCACGTTATTTAAACACCGTTGTAAATGTAAATGGCTGATAACTCATATGGCAAATAAATATGATTTATATACAAAATCATCTTCCTCAGATCTCTATTTCTACGTTTGAAAGTGTTATCCCTTGAAGATAGAAGACAGTATCGTTGATCCTATCGATCATTCATAGACGGAAAACAGTCGAGTATCTCGACGTTCCTCTGCTTCTAACCCCTGCGTGAAATGCAACAGCAAATCAGATCAACTGTATAAAAAATCAGTAACCAGCGAGTGAAAGTTTCAACTATTCTTCTTTTACTGTTATTCATCCTTTCTAATATCTTTACACCGTTAGCAATTATTAGAGCCTCGAAGCCTGCATCCAAGAATGAGCTCCCTGACAGATCATCTAACATGTCATTGGCTGTCTGGCACCTCCTGATCCTCTGGGTAACATCAGTATCAAGCTACGAACTAATCTAATCTCTTCTGGAAGGTCTTGTTATTTATGTCCTCGATCGTACAGATGATACTGATCTCCTGTTCAATTATGAGCGAAGCACGGTTTCCCTATGTGTCAGAATTCGAGTACATCCCACGGCTTCATCCTTCCAGAAATCCAGATTGCCCATCGCGATTCGTTGGGAAAGATAAGATCCAAGAGAATGTAAATGGATGGAATCGACCGTCGATAGAGATCAGAGCGGTGCTGTCTCGTTGCACAAAGTAAATAAAGGGAAAGCAAAATGTCGTTGGTTACTTTTAAAGACGAGTGTACTGTTTTCTAATTTTATCTGAAAGGTATTCTAACGATTTTAACAAGCGACGAGCGCGACGTGGCTACACAGAGCATCAAGGGATAACAAATTGCACGCGGAAGATTGTTATCAACATAAGGTTCAACAATATCGGCAAGGTGATTAATCTAATTTACATAATTGCCCTGGCACTGATCAGGGATCATTACAGACCGAAATGGAAGAGAAATTCATAGTGATCGATCACGTGCTGGATTCGGCCACGATGAAAAAGATGCCACTACAGAATCCATACGTAATCAAAGTTCGTCAAGAAGCAGTATTACAATTGTACGGTTTAAAATTTCAAAGCGTGAGTACCATGATTTTTTCATCAAGGAGTTGCTGCGCTCTGTAATCATCTCCTCGTTGGTGACTCTGTTGGTAATTTATCGTGATAAGGGGAAGTTCCATCGATTTTCGTATCAGAGCCAGATAATCAAGGTTCCATGGGAACGTTTTACCCGTCGTTGGTCGAGATACCAGCAGAGTAGCTGACGAAATCTCGCGAGCAACCTTATTGATCGCGCGACTTTGAACAAGGTTGTTAACGCAGAGGCGAGGGAAGATGTGATTAACAACGAGAGCCCGAATTACACCGGGTGTAACGTTGATCCGGAGAATCCAACCTGCGGTCAAACGTTCATGCGTGGAGAACCAGTTCCTTTTAGCCAGGTAAATGACATTAGGGGGTATGATCTCATCAAGGTCTCTTGCTTTTGGTATAGCTAATACAAATTTTTTAAATTTTCGCGTTATCACTGTCTCTATCGAAATTGCAAGCGTTATCGCTGCCTCTATTGAAATTCCAAGCGCCATCATTAACTTTATCACCAACGCAAGCGTTATTACTATTTCTATGCTACCTCTATTGCTATCGAAATTGCTAGCGCCATCACTAGCTCTATCGCAATTGCAAGTGTTATCACTATTTCTATCGAAATTGCAAACGTTATCACTATCTCTATTGAAATTACCAGCGCCATCGTTAACTTTATCACTATCGCATGATTACTATTCCTATGCTACCTCTATTGCTATCGAAATTGCCAGCGCCATCACTAGCTCTATCGCAATTGCAAGCGTTATCACTATTTCTATGCTATCTCTATCGCTATCGACATTGCAAGCGCCACCATCGGTGCTATCGCAATTGCAAACGTTATTACTATCTCTTTGCCACCTCTATCGCTATCGATATTGCTAGCGCCATCGCTAACGCCATCATCACCACTCTCGTTATCATTTTCGCCAGCGCAATTACCACCATCTCGCTATATCTAATACCATCGCTACCGCTGTACAGGGTTTCTGCTGTTCCTGCGATCCGAGGGTGAATGCTAGACGTCAGTTCGCAGGCTCGAACGATTCCGTCGAAAGTTTCGATGCCGCAGCCAAGTCAAACTACAACGACGTCGCAAACAAACCTCGCAACAGGTTAGCAAACCAGAACGGGTATACAAGAATAGCGAACGATCCGATGGCGGAACGCCAGATCACGAAGAATGACTCTCGATCGATGAAGAAATCAAACACGCGACCCGTGAATTCTGCTAGCAGCGAAACAATTGGAAGCAGTGTTTCCAGGTCGGATGCACGTCGTGAAAAAGACGCGCTGCATAAATCGATCGATCGATCCTCGCCGATGTCATTGCGTGGAAACAAAGAAGAGAACAATCACGGGGAGTATCTCCTATCGGGGAAAAAGGAAGCCACGAATTCCCGTGTCACGGATTCCAGCGATAGCGAAAAACATTCCAGAGAACGGGAGGTCGCCTCGTCGACATCGGTGTCGTCCACGAGACCGGAAGTGTCCGCTGGAAGGACGCCAAGCGGTGATAAAACAGCGTCCAACAGGAACGTTGCGTGCGACAGAACGATTCAACGGGAAAATGTCTCTGGGGGAAAATCAGGAAAAGCTGGTCTCGGTGAAAAACAAGGAAATCAGGTGAAAATGGTAGATAAAGAAAATTTCAATGGCGGTAAATCGATCTCTGACGTAGAACGTTTCAATTCCGTGAAAAAACAGCCGAAAAATCGACAGTCCCTGACAGAAAACGAAAGAAATAATCGCGAATTCCAGTTGGTTGATTCGAAAACGGAAGTTGAAAAATCACGGCGAGAGGGAGGGAAACACGCGGGCCGATCGAAGAGCATGAAAACGCAGAATTCGTCGATGGATTTAACTGATACAAAGGATTCATTTCGTTCGAGCAAGCAGGAATTAAAGAAAAAATGGTGGAAGAAGGCAGTTACATCAGCGAACTATGTCAAGGAGGACGGGCGAAAGGGTGAATCCTTCACTGGAAATAAAGGTTCTCTCCCAAAGAAGAGGAACAAAGCGTTTCCCGTTACTTCGACAATCGATTCAGTACCGATCCGACCTGCTATGCATTTAAACGAGCCTTTAAAAAATTTGTCGACAGGTGTATTGAATAGCAATGGGTCTCCTGTGAGCCAGTCAGCTCGCTACACCGGCAAAGGTAATTTGAATAGAGTAATGGAAGGTACGTCTCGCCGGCCGGATATTAGAGTCAAGAGTTTTAACGAGAAACATGGAACGGTCGTAGCAGGATCGCACGGGAACGAGAAATCGATTCGTACCCTCGAAGACGTCGGTGTGAAGTTGATTTCGCAGATGATCAACATCGACGAGAACCTGTTACAAAATGACGATTGTTTCGACGGTATAAAGAATCGTCCGTGCAAAGGGAGTATCGAAAATTACACGCCGCAGAAGAGAACCTTGAAGAACCTGTCTTATCGTAAGAATAGGCAGAATCGTGACCGCAGAAACCAGAACGAACACGAAATCGATGGTTACCAAAGCGAAAGAAACTTTAGACGATCCAATGGACCGTTTCGTGCTGGAAGAAATCGACGCAGATCGAAAGGGCGAAACGAACCATCCTCGAGACGAGGTCGTCGAAAGAGGAGGAGCAAAAACCTTGACGATGACAAAGGATTCGCGTCGGGGAATCCGAATTCCGCTCGCGAGGTCCAAGTGTACATAGACTCCTCGAGACCCTTGCTGGAACGCACGAATGATCATCCAAGGTCGGGTAAATTCACGCATCGTAGAGCTAAGCCGAATAACGTTGCCGAAGCTACCAACGGCCAGGAATCGATGTCAAAGGACAATTTAGATAAACGGATCGAAGAGAAGTTTAGTCGTATAAACGACGTGCTGAAGGAGGATTCGATGGGGTCGAAGGGAAGCGTGGAAGAGGTGCCGGAAACCCCTGAAATTGATAAGACGAAGCAGTATAGCTATCGCGATGACACAGAGACGGGGAATAAGCTTGAGGAAACGAATGATGTATCATCTGAGCAAAAAGTTGAGGAGACTCGGGATAGGGACGCGTCGAACGAAGCCACTGAGCCAATTCTTGAAGACAAAATGAATCAAATTGAAGATGATACAGGGTTGGATACAAATCTTGACCTTGAAGCTGAGAATTTAGGAAAAGATGAAGAAATAAATGATCATCCAGGTAGTAATTTACCCGAGAACAAATTTGAAAAATCCAAGAGTTCAACATCCAATTCTGACCTTGTGATTTCACCGACGATGGGATCATCGATGATCGACGATCAATTGAAAGTAACCCCAGATCTATCTTTATCAGAAAACGCAGAGAATGCCGAGGATTTTGCTTTAACTAAAGAAACATCGACGGAGATCACGCAGGCATTGATAGTAGTCGATCTCTTCAAGGTGGTAACCAATCCGCTGAACCAGCAGCAGCAAACCACCGTTCCGAAAGATACCTCGAAGCCGTCCAATCGATCCACGGTGGTCAGCCGGTTGGGAAGTCTTGGTAAAAGCATACAGAAAGCCTTTGGTCTTCGGGTTCAGTCGGAAACAACTCGTCAAACATTCGCGATCACTAGTACACTGGGGTTGAACGAGTCAACAACGACGACGGAGAACACGACGGAAGCAACGACGACCGGTGTTGGTACCACGAAGATCACGGATCAGGTTTTCCGACCTTCGATCAAGCCCCTCAAAGACGCATCGAAGCAAACTTCTGGCGAGTTCCATAACGAGGTTGTCATCGACGAGTTGACTTTTCCTGACGAGACCAATCCCCCAACGACTGCCGCAACTACGCTTGTTCGACGAAGATTCGATTCGGAAATCAACCTGATAACCGAAGAGCGACGAAGGAAGAAGAAACGTATGACACCTTTGGCGATTCAGAATAAGGATTCATCGTTGGATGAGTTTCGTCAGCCGTACAGGTACCATAGAAGTCCTCGTGCCGATAATCCTTGGTACCACGGAGGGAAGAAGGATTCGATGAAATTCTCCTTCGAAGCTGAAAACGTTAATCTGATGAAAGAGAAGCTGGGCTCGAGCAACAGTTTCCTTCGTGAACAGCGGAATTACGTGCAATTGATGGTTAATGGTCAGGACGATGCTGAAAAGGCGAATTATGGGAAAGGATACAGGCTGAAGAAAGATCGGAGCGACCCAGTGAATGGAGGTAGAAGAAGAAAAGCAGAGATCAGAAATTCGCCAGGAATTAAGTGGATTCATCATCCATGGTACTCCACTACAGAGTCTTCGGAGTATACCGTTAAAAGTAAGAATCGTGCGGACGGTGTTCTTCCTAGCAGAAGTCTGACCAATTCAAAAGAAACTGGAAGAATCCAGAAGGAATCTGATAACTTGAATCAGCCAGAAATTTCAGGTAGAATACTACCACCTTGTTCTAAAAGTAAATATCGTAGAAGCAGACGTCTGTTGTCCGTTAAAAACTCGAAGAGTACCAAGAGGAACCATCAAAAGACGAGTAAAAATAAAAAGAAGCACGCTAAAGACGACGAGGATGATGAATATGAGAAGGAGTCTTCTAAACATCTAAAGAGTTTGAGGTCGCGCGTGGAGAAGTCGAAGAAACGAGACACTGAACGAGCCTCTTCGAAACGAAATAAAAGTAACAAAAACCGTAGCAAAAAGCAGCTGCAATCACCATTGGAGGATTCGTTCGAGGGCTACGATTATTCGATGCCCAAGGAGCCGGGGTACGAAGTCCTCGAAGAAAGGCAGGCCAAGGATGTCGGCAACCCTGAAGAGTCTCTCGAAAACGACGAAACAGTTCCTTTCATAGAAGAATCTGCCCAGAGGATGATTCCTGGAGATTCGAGAATCCAAGAGAACGTGCAAAACGACGATTCGTACAGCCGGTTAGCGGACAACAGTGTGCCGGTTGATTTCGACAGATTGACGGACAATTCGAAGGCGGAGGATTCGGTTCTGAGCGAGAAGGATGGGCAAGAATTGGGGAAAGATTTCGAGATATCACTGACAGGGAAAATTCACTTGGAAAGCGATTCGAACGGGCGACCGGTGTCCATCAGTTTCAATGCCGCGCCGGAATTCCTGCCAAAGAGTTCCATCGATTCTGGGACGATGAACGAGTACGTCGATCGATTGCCATCAGAGTCAGCCTCCAGTTCTTTAGTCGACGCGTCGAACACGGACAATGCTAATTTTTTGTCGAACGCTTTCGGCGCACAACCGGTAGACTCTGACGAGACGGGTGATCAATCGAAAGAATACTCGGGTGTAATCCGTGAAAGAAATGGTAACGCTGTGAAATACAGAGACGTGAATCGTCCTCAGAAACTGCTTCGTCTGCAGAAGAAATCCGTAGATGCTATCGAGAATGCTGATGAAGAAGAAACAAGGTTATTGAAAGGGTTACACAGAACTGATGAGAAATACAGTCCGAAGGATTCTGGATCTACGAACCTCAAACGGGACGTGGAATCCGTTTCAAAGGAAACAGAAGCGAAGGACGGAGATGTGTCTTCAGGCTCCGAAGACCTGAAGAATGTGCTTTTATCTGATTCTGAAGGTAACTTTGATTATAATGACTTTATTTAAATTTCTTAATTACTGAATCTCTTATAGACTCGCCTCAGATTTCATTGGACCTGTCCAACGAACCTGAAGCATCATTCTTGAACGCAGAAGGTGAAGACGCGGCTACCACCGTTCTTTCTGGTGGCTGTTATGCCTTAAACAGCACCACGGAGAGGACTGACCTGCCAGAAACAACCACGGTCGTTGAGAAAATGGCTGCCTTCGCGAACACACCGTTGCTCAGCTATCAAGATTTAAATACGACTGAATACCCGAGTACCACCGAACAGTTAGCTACTACTATCACGACGGAACGTTACGACAGCGTTCAGGAAGAAACTTTGCCGCCCCAGAAGCAACAAGCTTTCGGTTTCTCGAAGAGTGTGGCAGAGTACAATACCTCAGCGGAAGATAATAATGAAACGACGGAGAAGAAGAACATGCAGGCTGTATCTGAATTCGTGAAGAAGTTGGAGAAACTGGTGACAGACGCGGGGAACTCGAGCAACCAAACCGGCAGCACTTTGATTCATTTGAAAAAGTTCATTATCGTTCCTGATAATCAAACGTTTTGGAGTCTTGGGAAACTTTCAGAGCCTGAAGTATCGCCATCGTCGAGCACCGAGACTGTGGTTCTAATGGGAGAAGGGGTGAATGAAAATGAAAACGTTGGGTCTGTAAACGATAAGGAAGATGATGAAGTTGATGAGGAATCGAAACCAGCAGAGTCTGATTTGATTAAAGGGATAATTAGATCGGTGATAAGAGGCGATGACGAGAAACGCGACGTGACGGGTTGTGGAACAGGGAAGAAGGAAGAACACGAGGAGCCCTCGAAAAATAATAACGTTTGCAAGGAAGATAAATCAAATATGAAAGAGAAAAGAGAAGCGTCTATGAGTAACGCGGGGCGTGAACGAAAAAGGGAATCTAAAAAGAAAGACAGCAGACAGGGGAAGAAGAAACGGCGACGAAAGCGGAAAAGAAAACCTAAGAAGAAGAAAAAGAACGCGAATAAGAAGAATGATAAAAAGATTAAGAGCAAATGGCCCTTTAAAAGGAACTTACTCATGCTATCGGAAGAGGAACAGATTGAAACACCGGACTGCGGAAACAAGTGGAGAATCATTGATAAATTTTCATTGTGCGAGAAGAACAAGAATAGGATAGAACCGAAGAAGTCTGGTGAAAATAAGTTCAAAGAACCGCAGATTCGAGGAGGTCAAGATTGCTCGAATCACAGACATCCCCCAAACGTGGATCCTTCGAAATACCTCGAATCGGCGCACTGTCTACGATTCAGTAACTTATGGTTCGTTTTATTTGCTCCTTTATAAGTGAAAAGGTAAAAACGTCATATTTTCTAGGTACTCGGTCTACCAGCTGGAAGAACCTTTCGTAGCTCACAAAATTCATCTTCAAATCTATGTAAAAGGTAGTTCTGCCGATGGATCAATTTTCTGGCAGGATTTAACAAACGGTTCATCCGTAAGGTAATTTAATCGGTATACAATTCGATTATGTGTATTCAAGATCTTGGAGTCACTAAATTCGCGCTACACAGGACGTTTATCTCATCAGATTGGGCACCTTTGATAAACACTATCGGGATACAAGGAACAGCATGGATTTCACGTATAACGATATCAAATTAACACCGAACACGGGCTATAATTTGGATCCAACGAAAGATCGTTTATTGGTACCGTCCACGCTTTCCGAGGATACATCAAAGTACCCCGAAATCGAAGGTTTCTAAAGCACACCTTGATGATGTAGATTTTTTAGAGAATCATTCGGATGTAAATGAGAGGGGTTTTAATTGCGTTAGGATGGTCAGGCGAGTATCTAGTGGTGCAAGCGGACAAGATCAACGAGGATACAAACGAGTGCGACAAAGCCGGTGTGGGTTTCACTGCGTTCGTTAATCAACCGGATCGTTGCGAACGTGTACGTGGAACCTGTTTGAAGAATCAACCGATGGATTACTGGAGACACGACGTCGTACGTACCTACACGGTCAATTTATTTCTTCAATGACATTAACACGTTGAATGATACCGTGATGCCTACCACGGCTCATTATGAATTACATTTTCTAGTCATCTTCAGTGCAATCGACACGTTATTCTATCTATTCAATTTTCTATATAGAAATCAACAAAATTTCTTCTGAAATAGTTTAGACGTCCACCGTATCATTTGTCATGCTAATGTAATTTATTAGCAACGAATTTAATATATTCGTTCGTAAAATACTGCGCAAGCTGGGGGATGGCACGCGCGGAAAATGCACCGTGACTACTGCATACCAAGTGCTCGCGTAATTTCATTTAAATAAACATAATTGAAATTGTTGCGCGGGAAACGTCACATGCAACGTTTCAACGTACATTAATACGTTGTATAAATGAAACATTACATTCGAAATTAATAACTGACCATGGGCGTACGAAACCAGAGAGCACTCGCATTTGAACGGGTTGTAAATTTGAGAAATATTGCACAAAAGTAATTAATGAAGAATAAGTGCGACCATCGTACGAAAGGTAACGCGCACTTCCCGGAAGTGTCGTACTGATGAAACATTCCATTCGAAATTAATTATTCACCGCGTATTTCGAACGCGCTCTCGTTCAAAGGCAACCGCGCATAAAATTTAAAAAACGAGAACGGAAAAAGGGTTCGGAAATTAAATTTAAACTCCGAATGGTACGGTAAACGAGCAAAAGTGCCGATTCCGGCATCCGGAGGTTAAACTGGGGGGGGGGGGGGGGGGAAAGGAGGTTAAATATATCGTGACTTTTCCAAATATTTCCGCAAAAGTGGCAGGTGTTATCGAAAGGTACAACACGTTCGATGTAATGTCACGTGTCGGCAGGAAGCACGAGATTCCGGACGGTCTGGTTGCTACTTCTTGAGCAATTTCGCCTGGGTGCCGAGCGAGGCCATCAAGTACAACGTGAACGGAACCGGAAGCCGCGAGTTCCTCGCCCTCGAGTACCATTCGCCGCACGTGTCCGTGATCGACGTTGAACTCGGGGCCGACTACAATGCTCTCCTTCGAGCAGGGTGAGTTCCAGAGGTGATGATCGTTTCTAGGATGTGTTCCCATCGAAATTCCGAATCATTTTCAACGGTCTATTCTTTCTTTACAATACCATTGTACTTTCCCCTTGAAACGTGCCGTGCTACCTTAAATTACACCATCGAGAGCTGGTCAATATTTTGTTCAAAGATACAAGCCCTCTTTCAATAGATATACCATAAAGGTTCTAAATTGTAATTTCAATTGTTGTTTCGAATTAATTCCCAAAGGTAATCTCTGTTGCAATTTTCATTATATTCCAGGTCATACGGTCGACTAACCGAGGTGTACATAGATAATACCGCAATTGATTACACAGTGATAACGGTGCTGATTACCAACAAAGGCTCATCTTCATCCTCTTATCGAGTCCGGATTACAGACTGTCCCGAAGGACTTCCGGTGTCGTGGTTGAACGCCGAGTCTCCAAGCAAGACAATCTCGTCCCATCACGATCGTAAAGTAGCTCTAGATCTCTACGGGAGACTCTCATTAAACGAATTCTCTTGTTCCGGTAAATATCGTCTTCTGCTCGATGAAATTTTCCTCCGGCTTATTACATTTTCCTCGATTAAAAGCAAACAAATCTTCGACAAAGAGATATCCACCCCCTTTATTTTCTATCCTCTTTATTACCTTTCTTCTATTCCTCAGTGGAGCTGTTGAACAGCAACGGGGAACCGGTAGCAACGAGAAGAATAAAAACGAGAAAAATGGATCGTTGCTTTTGCGTGCGACACTGCGTGTGTACATGCGACGGTGAAAGAACGAGTTGTCAGCCTATGTCGTTGGAAAATTATCACGCTGCCGGTTTTCGAGGCCCGCTTCCGCCTACACCTGACGAACCTTTCATCTGGTTCAATCCCATAACCATAGTTTGCTTGTTTATAATCGGTGTTCTGTTGCTGTTGCTTCTTTTAGGTACGAAGAGATAAATTTTTATGAAAATATTACGAACTATGCTGAATGAGAGATACGTTCCAGGTATTTTCAAATGGCTGATCGGTCTATGCTTGCCAGCAGTAGGACGTTGGGGATTGGATGCTCTATTCGAAACGAATAAAATGAAGGAATATTTTGAAAAGGATTTGAAATCAAGAAGTGTAGTATTGGATGAATCTGGTCAACCTGTGCATCCAGACACGAGAAGGAAATCTGTCAGAGTTTGCAATAGGTGAGCAAAGAGAACCAACGCGTAAGACTCGAAACTTAAAATTTTCATTCATCCCGTCAGGAAGTTGGAATTTTTCCTGAATTTGATATTTTTCTTCATTTATCCATTGGTGATTTGTTGCTGGTACTGTATGAAACCTAGACACCCCAGTAAAAGTACGATTCCTGTCGAATCCCAGGTAAACGATACATTTTATTAACCCTTGGACAGTGGATTTTCAATTTTCTAAATTTATTGACAAATTTCACCCCTTAGTTTTAGTAGAAACATTCTTGTATAGCTTTCGTAGGTCGAGGTCACGATTAACCCCGCTTTGCTGTTCAAGGGTTAAACAGTATCCTTTATAATCCTAAGACCCTCTGTACACAGTAAACCTTCTATATAGGCTAGTCTGATGTCTGAAAAGGAGGAGTCCCCTACAATGATATGCGTCAGCACGTACGGCGACAGTATAAATTCCAAGATGGAGGCGGAGGACACGAAGTACGTAATAGACGAGCTGAAGAAGTCACAGGAGTCCTTGCAGAATCTCAACAGATATAAAGTAGGCCTCTATCGATCGTCCTTTATTCCAAGGACCCGTTAACCCTCTCTAATCTCTGTTAACCAGTAATTTACGTAATAGCTAATGTACCTAATATTTAACCTGTTTATTTCCATAAGAAATATCTTAGATACGACAAAAGACTGAAAAAAAAAGGAATAATTCCATATTGTGCAAGTGTTTATTTGCATGCACCTGTGGTCGACTTGGATCGCTGACTTTATACTACATTTTTTCCTTATTTTTATCTAGAGAATATAGCCCACCCAGTTTGTCGAGAAAACCCCAAGGCAGCTCGGATAATTTACTAGATGCAATAGATGTAAATCAGAGTCGTTCGCGGTGAAAAAAAGCTGAGAAGAAAAATTTATGAATTTAAAACAAAAATTTTCATTTTTATCACAAAGTTCCACTGGTGTATTAGGAAGTTGACGGAGAATTGCGTTTTACAGAGGAAGCCGGAGAGCCCAGAAACTGTTCCAAGCTCGTCGGACTGATAAGAAAAAGACGGGGGTAGGAGGTTCTCGACGCGTCGAGATGCATTTTCAATCCAGACACGTCGAAATACCGGTCCCAGGGAAATATGCGATTTTACTCGACAGGAATTATACGCAATGCGGTCGTACCACGGGACACGGACAGAGAATTTGTGGACGTTGCCGGCTTGATATCCATGGCGTGCGGGGGTGTGGGTGTGCACCCCTCGCTTTAACCTATTTTTTCCGCCCGAGCGCTATTTGTACGCGACGGTGGAATGTAAATATTCATATAGAATGCACGTATTTTTTCGTGGATTGCGCTTAGTCACGGGGAAATAAAAATAAACGCTCGTTACGCCGGGGAATTTCAGCCATAGGATATTCTCGCCTGTTTCACGACCACGGCTAAACCGTGTACGCTAATCGAGGGACGAGGATTGATTTTTCTCCTTCCCTCGTTTCCCACCCTGTCAATATTCTACTCTCTATTTTTTTAAGCTAATTTATCGTGAAACATCGAATCGACACGGACGTGAAACGTTAATTCGAGTCAATTATATCCTATCATCTCTCTACTGAAATTTACGAGCTGTAGAGAAAAAAAGAGAGCTTTATATCCTAAATCGCTTGAATTTTATCCGTACATAAACATTCTTTTTCGTGCCGAATAAAACCAGCTCGTGTAACACGCGAGCGATGAACGCTTAATATCTCGTGACACGCGGGTTATCCTACTAACAGGAAATTCCGGAAAATGAAATTGTCGAATTTCATCAAGTTTCGTGTTTACCGATCGACACGATCCATTTCGACGTTATTCCTCCGCTCATCTCGTTATAATTCAAACACGTGGCGCGGTTTAAGCGATGGCAATTTTAGTGACGTATCGCTTTAAAATAAAATTGCTTTCGCGAAGGTTTTATCATCTAAACTTTCCCCGCTTTCGTTCATGCGTTTTAACGATACCACCGGGGACAGAGTTGCGAACGAAATTTACATTGCAAATATTATTTCCACGCAAATACGCCTCCGTTTATTGTATCCTCGCTTGCTTTATAGACTCTGTACAGTAGTTGAGTTTAGCAACTTTTTCAGGGGGATCGCTATTTAAAATCGCGTTTCCTCGATAGAAAATTGATGGCGTAAACGAGTTTCCCGTGATATTCGATTATACCATAACTACGTCGAAAGAATGGATGCGTATGCTAAGGAAAAGGAAACGAGGAGCTTCGTATTATGCGATCGCGTTTATCTACATGCACCTGTGCCCAGCTTGAATGCCCGTTCGTGCCCAGCCGCCAGAGAAAGGAGTTTCTTTGTCCATTGTAATTCGGTAGCCTCCGGCTGCTCCAGATTGACCGCACTCGACTGACCGTGGAGAAGCTGGAATCTACGAGTACGCGAAACGGAACAATGCTCGTCCCGTTGGCTCGCGAAAGAACGCTCGCTATGTTCACTTCTTTTCCTCAGATATTTTCCGCTTACGGCACGTTTGAAATGTCAGGGAACGGATAAGGGATCGTAGTCCCCGGGTCGAGGATTTTCTACCAATTACAGTGATACCTCATCACCATGGAACCCGTGCACGTCTATTTAAATGCAATCTTAACGAGCATTCGAGTGACTCAATGTTGGAAAAGAGCATTATATTCTCGTTACAGTTCTTGTACGCGGTTTACTGTTCGCTCTGTTTCGTATAATTTCATTAATCGTGATAAGCAATGGCTAATCATTAACTCTTTTCGTGACGCAACGTACAGTAGAAATGTCAATCAATTTTGAAAACTGCATTCTGTTTGAGCACGTGCTAAATATTTATGATGGTGATTATATTAGAGCGAACGGCTGTGAGAGAAGACGACCATAAGGCTACCTACTCGAGCGTGGAACCAAAGGAAAGTAAACAAACCGAGGCTCCCTGAAACGACGGATGTTGATATTTTGGAAACGATATAGGAAACTTTCGGGAAGGAAAGAACGGAAAAATAATCTTTTGTTTACGTCCAGTTTCGAAAAAATATCGGCCATTTTGCCACGTCATGGCGATCAGCCATTCCCAGAAGCACCTGTTTTTCTTAATACGATATCACGCTTTGAAGATTCGGCTTATTGCTAGGTATATAAAACGCGTTTGTTAACAATGCTACTGAATCTCTTAAACAATAAATACGGAGCTTGTCTCAATATCTTTAATTAATAAAAATGAAACAGAATTTACGTCAGATTGCGCATGCGCAGTTACTTTTCCGCGATTCTTTCTGAGAAGTTGACAAACTATGAGATATAATCGTATATTATGTTCGTTTCTTAACAAGATTCAAGTATCTATCGACTCACCGTTTCTGCATCCGTTGTATGTAGAAGTCGGCAGTGGATTTTCCACACTTTTTCCACGTTTTCACACGAAACACACCGGTACTCTAAACATTCGGAACACGACACAATTGATTCTCGATCTGACGACGCGACGTACTGTACTACACCGTTTACAAGACATCTCGCGGTCACGTGAGCTGAGGTGGGGTGTGACCAATCAGATTGCGTTATTCTTATGGCACTTCTTGTCATCGGTGAACAGTAAGCAGATCAACAATAGCGTCCCTGGCGGTCAACAATGGAAGTCGGTAAACTTTTAAAGCTTGTGTGTCGTAGCAAGGTTTCTGAATATCTGGTGTCATTTGTGTGAATTTTATCCAAGAAAAAGAATCAACGATGAACATTCTAACGCAACAAAGGTAACGTTATTCTTTTTACATCGCAATCCGCCTATAATTTACGGGAAAGTGACTCTTTCCGTCATAACCATAAAAAGCGAACAGTGCAATCGTTTAACTGTTGCACTGAAGTCGCTCATTACAACCTTGACTTTATTTTCCTTTCGATCAAACAAGACGTTCTTGTAACCTACCGTCGTGATCATTGCTAAATACGTATTCAAATGAGGGTGATTCGGTTCGTTCTCATTTGCTGGAAATTTTCGTCATTACTAAGCGACACTTTTTCCCTCTTTAAGAATTCTTGACGCGTGTTTACAGATCGTGATATCGTCGAGGATGTGTCTCAACGATCATACCCGTAGCCGATAAAACCCTGTTCAACAACCCTTCTCTCCAGAAAATGCATCAGGATGAACCACGAGAGGTTAATCCTGCATCCGTTGTAAGCTGAAGTCAGCAGTGGATTTTCCACACTTCCCTCGTTTTCGATACACGACATGATTGATTCTCGATCTGACGTAAGCAGTTCAGCAATGGCGTCCCTGGCGGTCAACAACGGAAGTCAGTAAACTTTAAAGCTTTTGCGTCGTAGCAAGGTTTCTGAATATCTGGTGTCATTTGTGTGAATTTTATCTAAGAAAAAGAATCAGCAATGAACATTCTAACGCAACAAAGGTAACGTTATTCTCTTTACATCGCAATCCGACTATAATTTACGGGAAAGTTACTCTTCCCGTCATAACCATAAAAGCGAACAGTGCAATCGTTTAACTGGTGCACTGAAGTCACTCATTTCATTCTAACCTTGATTTTATTCTCATTTCGATCAAACAAGACGTTCTTGTAACCTACCATCGTGATCATTGCTAAATACGTACTCAAATGTGGGTGATTCGGTTCGTCCTCATTTGCTGGGAATTTCAGTCATTACTATGCGACACTTTTTCCCTCTTTAAGAATTCTCGACGTGTGTTTACAGATCGTGATATCGTCAAAGGTGTGTGCAGTCTCAACGATCATAGCGGAGCCGATAAAACCCTGTTCACGACCCTTCCCTCCAGAAAAGGCATCAGGATGAACCACGAGAGGTTGTTACATCCTGCTCATCGTCGTCGTCGTCGGCAAAGGTAAGTCACGTTCCAATGATAAATATTGCAGGTACACGTGGTTGGCGTGCACAGGGCCGTATCAACTGAAAATTCTGAACTATTATATTTTATAGACAATTCTCAATAGTGCTAACGTTTTTGTATTAAATCATTTTTATTGATATTCAAATATTGTAAATTTTATTATAAGTAGGTGGCGCTAGCGTGCTTAAGACGCCATCTTATAAGTATCATATTTTCAAATTTAATCTTTTGCCGTATTTTATGGATTAAACTATCCTCATTGAAACTAGTACATCGCAATAACTATTAGAAATTACGTTCCCCTGAACTTGCCGAGCATATTCGTGAAATTACTCGAGCCAATGAAAGCTACGCTGCATTCCCTGTGCAATGGTGCACATCTGGTGCCCCGATCGGCGCAGAATCCGTTAGCACAATGGTAATTACAGGGGCACGAAAGGCGGAACACCATGAATATATCCTTGGTGGTGTGCGCACCCCGTCTTTGTCTTACGTTTCCATCGCCCTGTCGTTTCTCCTCTGCGATTTTTCATCCCTTCCGACTCTCTCTCCCCTTTCCACGCAATTTTTCTCGTATTTCACCCCATGGCGAAGGCTTATTGTGCCGATCCTGCATTAAAATGCAACCACTCGAAAAGCCGCCTACGCAGGGACAAAGGCGAGGAATTTGAGGCAGTTTCGAAGTTCCTACCCCCGGTTTCGGTGCACACACGCACCCTCAACTACCGAGCAATCGTATCGGCGCATTGTGCTCGGTTTCCACGTAAAATTTCCAACAACTGCCGAGGAAAGTTCTCTTTTCTACTTCGGTTTCCGCGCTGGGAGGAGTTCCAGCTAATCTGGAATAGTTAATGCGATAAAGTTCTATGGAAATCAGACGTCTTCCAGTAATTAATTGCGATACGGTTAGTTATTTCAAGCCTGTTATATAAGAGGATTGACCTACATTCAATCCGTTCGTATTATTAGATACATTAGATGTTAAACACGTTGGGTATTAGGAGTTTGATTATTCGCGTCGTGGCACGGGTAATTTATAAGATTTCATGATTAAGGTATCAATCAAACGTGTCGCACCCGTTTTTCTGGACGATAGGTAATTACTGTACCTTCATTCCAAGAACCATAAAGTATCGCAAAAGTATCAATTACAAGCTTTAACCGCAGAGAGGAACTTCCGTTCTCAATAATAACAGCATTTTCTTCATTTTCTCCGTTATAAACATAAAATAAGAACGTTTCACCTGTTCTCATTCGATCGTTATCATCGAGTCTACTTGATCAACGGTTATATTTATTTCTTCATACTAATCTGACGAACCATTTCCTCTCAATTAACTCCTAAAGTATCAGTCGCAGATATACTTAGCTACATTTTTCGAACGATTAATCCCGATCTGATATTCAAAGCTATAGAATCAAATCGTGTCCTCGTAACGGTTCGCTATGATAGAAAGAAAAATCTGATTAATCTAATAGGTCGTGGCTATTTTCCTATTCGATTCGAGGTTACCAGTGCCACGCGATTCAGCAGCGTGAAACGAGAAACATTGAATCTTCTAGCTGCTCCTTTTACTCCGAGACGAGGCTCTTCGCCGACCGAAAAGGCTGAATCGCATCCGGAACCGGTTCCAGAAAATATGCCTCACTAACTGAACCGTGCTCTGTAATTTACAGACGAAACCACAGATTCATCTAGATATTAGCTTTCTTTTCTAATCAATGCGAATCGAAACGAACAGTGCTTACGGGCTTCGTTGCAATTCACTCTGCTCGATATCTCTGCATTAGCCACGCTAAGCATTTGATTCGTATAATTCTGCAACAAAGATCTGTCGAGACTCAGAGATTATTCTCAAGTTCAACCACGATCGTCCCGTTTCGCATATTTCCGGTGTGAATGCGTTTCAACCGCGTTCAAGCATTCCTTCGTAGCGCGTTTGCATTCGCGACGCGTCGAGCAATGGGCCGGTTAACGTTCCTTCGAATTGCACAGGTAGACTGTTGTCTGCAGCAGCTGCAAACGCAAATCCTGCATTAACGCCTCGAACCACGCGATTCACGCAACCTCCGGCTCGTTCTCGCGGAAGCTGCCAATAGACTGCCGTTCGTGTCCTTCGTGCCTGTAACGGGGTTCCTTTATCTTATACCTGTTTCTTTTTTTTTCATTTCATTCTCAGAATGTAAATGTCCAACTCCCTTTTATTTATTTATTTATTTTTTTAACTTTCAAGAAATTAATAATTATGATTTTTAATAAATGATAGGATTTACTTTTGTAATAAAAAAGTAGGATCATCCGTCGTGTTGTATAATGAATAAATTATATTGAAACTTTGAATAGGTGATGAGAGATTAAATAATGTGTAGGTTTATTTTATGATCTCCTATTATAAAGATTTTCTCATTGTGTGTGCACCTTGAGCCCAACACACGTACAGTGGTGTAAGTGCACACATACCTGTAGGTTCGTGGCCATGTGATACGCAGCTGGGGCAGCTCCTATGGGGAACCAGCTTCACCGCATTCCCTACTCGACTACCTGAGAACTTTTCGTCACGAGCTTCTTGTGCTCTCGTGACTCTTCTCGACGAGCTGGCTCTGACCATTCCTGGTCAAACTTGATTTCTTATTAGTTGTATTTCAACGATAAAAGTGCACAATTGTAAAACACCATTGGTTCGGTATCCAAGAGGTGTTAAACAGTAAACGTTGACTTTTTATTTTTTTCATCTGCGACATTGATTAAAAAAATTGAATTTAGTGCAAACGGTGTTGACGTTCGAGAGAGATACACGTTTATTTATTCTTCGTCGAACATCGATGAGTTTAATTTCGTTAAAACCCCAGACGGCACGGGAAGGTCTATTCATTTCGAAGGGAAAGGGAAGGAAATTGTGACGTTTCATTAATTTAATTGCACGGAGACAGAATAGCGTGTTGCACGATTTTCTTTCCATCCGATCTCATTCGTCTTCGGTAGGTGGAAGCTCGATTTTCCCGGGTTCCGAGGTAAAACAGTCCTTCTCAGGCATCGGTGTACGTTATGTCTGCGAAATTGAAGGCACGATTTATGAAGTGCCCGCGAAAGAAAAATAATATCAAGGTAGGTTACGTTGCTCGAAGCGTTCGTGAGCTTTTTTTCCTCGTGAAAATTCTTCTCGAGGTTGATCACGGAAATTGTTATCACCCTTTGCGTTTATTCTACTTGTGGCAAGCTTGTACTTGTATTTGTGTAACATTATTTAATGGAACATTTCAAGGAATAAAGGTAGTCCAGGAGGGATGAAATAATTTATTAGCTACCATGTTTCCTTATAATACACTTTGTAATTAAGAATCAAGAAGAAATCTAATAACAAAAATATGGAGAGATTATTATAGTGGTAGGATAGATAAATTTTATATTATTTTATTTCAAATACTATTGATGTACGAATCTATCCCTTGTATATATAATACAAAAGGTGGTAATCGTCCCCTGCCTGTACCTTGGTATTATAACAGCCGACTGAGGCGAGACGACAACACATGTTCGTTGTGTATAGGGGGCCCAAACAAGTTCGAGCCAGCGGTTAATCCGTCCCTGTTGGTCGTCCCTCGATCACGATCACGATCCACGCGGCAGTCTTGCCGCGCCAGCGCGATCGAGAGGATCGATGCTGCGCATCGCGGCCGCGTCACGATCATCGAAAATTCAGTCGCGAAAACGATTTTCTTGTGAAAGTGGAGTGATATATACATGGAAAAAATTGTACCATCGAGGGATAAAACCCGGATATAATTTTCAACGACAATGTGCAGGTGATTGAAACGCGATTGGATGATTTATTTTCATGTTGTCGCGAACGTCCTTAATTTATAGCCTTTTCTTTCTGCGACTCGCGGCTTTCGCATTTCCCTTTTCTTCTTCGTTGTTTTCTTTTCCATAAAACACACGCGAACGTATATCAGCCACTGTCACCGGTTTTATTTTTCACGATGGATTTCAAAGATCTTGAAAGATACATCCTGTCTGCTTGTGACAGACAATTAGTTTAATTCTGAAACGTTGCATTTGATCATTTTACAAAGAAAATGAATTGTTTTTAATTCTAGTTGGAATATAAAATAAATTTTAAAGTGGTTATACTGGTATCTATTGACACAAGGGTTAGACGAAACTGGGTGTGGTATGCTTTGAATCGAGGATGAATCAGTAAATATTATATTGTAACCATAATTTTTTTTATCGGTTTCTACAGAAACGATAAAGTATCGCAATAGAGTTATCGATGGTCTAGGGAAAAGGTGTCTCCTTTTGAGTCACCAAACGAATATTGCTTACGATATAGAAAGGGAAAGGAATGCGTGATTCAGGGGTCGAAAGTGACGTGGTGTTAGGCGAGGGTTAATTCCCCTTTTGTACTCGAAAGTGGTCAGAGTTCGGTGTTGAACTCACCTGGTCGGCTTCACGACGACGCGATCCCTTCTCGATCAGGGATCAACTTGGGACAGGGTCGGTTATCGTCGGTGATCCACGTCTCGCGTGAGTTCGTAGCACGAATGAAAACCGGAAGCTCGGAACGCGACCTGAACTCGGTGATTAATGAACCCGACGATCGTTTCACAGAAGTCGCATATCGTTATGGTGCGCCGTCGTTGCGATAGCCCGTGCTACGACGTCCTTTCCTGCGACCGATAACACTGTTTGACTTGTCAGTCCGTCGCTGATAACGTGACTCTTGTGAAATCGTGAAATTAGGAGGTCGTAAATACCTTGTAATTTTTTTTTTTTACGCGATGCAATCTTTTCGAACTTTTCCACCTTATTTCTGTTTCGAACGATTCAATATTTTTGAGCAACGAATCGTCTAGGCGTGTCAAATGTCCCGAGATCGACAAATAACGCAATCGACGCCTCTTGTGGAGTCGAGAAAAAGATTCTGGAACCTGTAACGATAAATAACAGTGGCCGAAGTGTTCGTCTAACGACGCTTGGCGTTCCATTGCCCCGTGGTATCTCAACGGAGACTGTTGGTCGGCTGCAAAAATAGAAACCAGTGATTGATTCCTACGTCGGGTAGTCAGTGAGGCTACCATGCTCCGTCGTGAAAGGAACGCGATACGTGTACAGTGAATCTGTTCGACGAAATTCGACGTTTCATTGCCCAATAGTGTCTGTATTTGGTAAATCGGTCAGTGATTTCGTGAACGAGTGGTCACTTTTATTCTGTACCGTTCTTTGTTTAAATCTGTTCTCATCAGTGATACCTGTGTACAAGTGGTGCACCCAGATTCTATCCTCGTAAGTTTGATACTTCTGTGTCTTCTGTAGAGGCACAGCCTCTTTTCTCGGAACAGTTACGTAGAATCGCGCAGATACCTGTTGATGGAAGTTCTGTGAACGAATCGAGAAGGTTGGATAGACTGGACTGATAGGGAGAGCCATTCGGTGCAATCAGGAATCACCGATCGCACACGACATCGAGTGGCTGGCGACGTTCACCTACGGTTAATGTTAGCTACGTGGAAATTACGCTGTGCCACCGCAGCCAAGAATTGCCAGGATAACGTAGCCACGCTCGATTACCGGCAGGCTAGTCGACGGCAGAGATCCGCTCCCAGCGGGTGCATACAGCTAGGTACGTACATTATGCGCCTGCATTTACACATGCTCGCGATAATGCTCGTGCCAGGATGCCGGATTCGTTGCTCGTGATCTATGGACCCATTTTAGCAGCCTGTTTATTCTTTTCTCCTTTCAACCACTTTGTTAAGAATAACCGGCTTAATTAAGATATCGTTGTATTTTACGAGCTGCGCATGACCATAAGTATCTTTGGAGAATTTGAAATTTATTGCACGTTTAACAGTTCGGAACTTAATTACTCTAATTTTATAACGTGTAATTAATCATACGAAAATGACAAACGTTTTGTATCATTCGTATCGGTATTCGAATGCGCTATCGATACGGTATAGCTTTCTTTATCACCCTTCGGTCGCAGTTAATTGTCAGCTCGTTAATATTAGAGTGGTAATGATCGGGCATCTGTCGCGGCAATAAAAGATACAGAACCCGTCAGCTATTCTCAACGATTCCACGCGGTTCTACGGTATCATTCACGGAAACCCACGCCAAGAGTATCCCCCTCCGGGCTTGATACGATGATGGAACGACGAGGCGAGGCGAGCGTAGGCGTACTACGCTCGTACGAGTGGTATACACGCTCGAGCGAAGCCGGTTACCCTGTAAAACGCAAATAAAGAAAGTTTTCATGGGCGCGGTAATGAATTATCCGCCCGTTCCCTTTCGTTTCTCTTTCGCGTTAAGCAGATTCACGGACGTTGCTCTACAAATTTTTACGCTCCTCTAATTTCATCGATAAATCCGTTCGGACGTTGCCGGACGTTAATTACCCTCGTAACATGTTTGCTGGACGTTTATTCTCCTGCGAACGATAAGTCTGTAAATAAATTGAAAAAGATACGTATACCTTTCGCAACTAGCTGTATAGACTGTATCGAAAGCCTTCTGTATATGTACATCTGTTTTCGTATACCGGTAAATGTTTGTTTCGTAAACGATTGCGCTCAGGTGTAGGGCTCGCGTTTGCGAAGGGTATTGGAAATAGCTCGGAGTGCAAAGGGTTAACGCTCGAGCGAACGTGCGTGGCCGATAATGCACGAGCAAACATTTATCGGGGCCGATTCATATTCTCCGTGATTATCAGAGCCACTGAATGAGTCGGACAATGCCACGAGGATGCTGTTCACAGTGTTGTGTTGGTTATCTTCGTGTGAATGCACTTGCAGCGTGGCGTCGGTTAGTTGAGAAAAGAGATAGACGCTTCTTAACGAGCGTATCCGGTACAAAAGCGAGATCAAAGAGAGCCGAGGAATCGAACCCTTTTTCTCAACTTCCTCTATCGTAGCTAATATCGCCCCTTTGTTTCGTTATTCGAAATATCACCGGCTAACGTGTCGTGAAACAACAGATGAAAGTGGGGAGGTTGGATTTCAAGTAATAACTCGTCCCGAGGATTTTCGAGGATGTAAAAAGCTCGTACTTCTTCGTGGTGGTACACAATATCGCGCACGAGTTGGCAACACGCTGCGTACAGGCACGTGGTTTATTTGCAATGAAAAAACAACGGGTTTCTATGTAGCGTCGCGGTGTAGACGAGATACATCGAAGGGGAGCGAGGAAAAAAGGCAGCACGATCCCCGGGGATCGCATCTGTGGGCCAAACGAGGACCCACGTGGCGAGGGACAAAGTAAAAAGTCGCAAAGAGTGTCTGTTCTTAGAGTCATCGTCGGGGCTTTCTTTAGAACTCGAGGCTACCTTTGATGCGTCAAACTGGAAGATGTTTAGAAACATATTAAATCTGTATTTTTGGTCGTTGGTCTGGCGGCGAAATGAAAGCGACAGGTGCTCCTTTTTTTTTTTTTTTTTTTTTTTTAAAGCAAATTATTTTGCACTTGGCGATTTGGTAAAATGAAACTTGAACAATGGCCCCAGGAAACCGTCTATAGAATTAAATATAGAAATCGGAAGAAGGGTTAATCAGCACCCTGAAAGATTTATCGCTTCCTTCGTGCAACGCGTTAAACGGTCAAGGAAGGATTAATAAAGTAAGATGCCCACGCTGTTCGAGTGTGACGAAATCCAGTCGCGTGATGATTTTTTAGAGAACGATTTTTCTTCGTCCCGAACAAGCCGCGCGTTACACCGTAATCGTGCGTTGTATATGATAAATACGCGAGTGGTAACGATCAAAGGGTGCACGCGATACGAACAGAAATAGCGATCGTTTCACGGGGCATTTCTATTGCGTGGCTTTCTCGCAGCAGTTGCACAGGTCATGCACCTCAAAGACCGGCCCTGTCAGGGCCATGAATAGCCCCATCGGCTTAGGAACGCGGCGGGGAACTGAGAAGAAGCTTGTGAAAGGGCATCGAGTGTTTTCAGAAGGTACTCTGCGAGTAGTGGGCTACCCATCGAGAAGAATAGAAACGAAGGATACAGATTGCTTGGAAGGAACGATACATCTATAGTAGCGAAGGGAAAGATTTTTCATTTTATTTTCCCTTTTTCTGAGAGAGAGAGAGATTCTTGAGCGAGAAAATTCGTTCCTCTAAATTTTCCCGAGAAATTGAGACGCAAGGAGCATCTCTTCTAATGTTAGTTTTCTCGATCGTTAGATTCTTCAATTTACAAAATACTATTTTCTATCTCTCATCGAAGGATCGATATTCGTAGCGAGTTTCAACTCCTAAATTCACGAGGGAAAAATTCGTTATTAAATCGGGAATTCTCGCTGATGTACTTTAATTGTACCGTGATAAAAGATACTCCATTAGACGGGGATAATTTAACTCGTCGTCGTCGTCGCTGCGCCCTGTGCATCGATGTGTATCTGCAAAGCGTTTTCATTAACAGATCCTTTTAGAGAACGGGATCGCAATACGTGAAACTGGGTCATCCGTTGATTTTCTTAAATTTTCTGTAATCTGTTCGAATCAGGAGATTCAGGATGCCCGCGTTATTTTAATAGCTCAACCTACGTTCCTATTCGTTTCTTGCACACATGAATGCACGTAATGAAGTACGTTCAGGCGTGATATTATTAGATTATCTGCCGTGTAGGAGAGGTTATCAGTATGCTGGAAAGATTAATGGTCCGCCGGTATCATCCCTATACAACGTAGTCGACCTGTAGGTTTTTTAGCCGTGAGAAATCTTGATCTTGATTTGACGCTCGTTGACGAGTCTAAAGGTTCGTTAATCACCCTCGCAGAATGGATATCGTAAAACACGAGGAACAGAAGGGTATAATTTGAAATGGAGCACAGTATTTCTGATAACCCTGATGCTTTCACAGCTATCCGTATAAAATGATTTAACGTGTGAATCTCTTCAACCTGTTCGAAATGGATCCAAGTTTCTAAAGAGTAGTGTAACGGAAACCGGTCCGATTTGGCTGTCGACAAGTCGGTAACAAATTAAGCGCGAACATCGGATTTGCATATAATGCGTTCTTTATCCACGAATCCCGGGGCTGATCGAATCTCGGTCCGTCGAGAATCGTGAAACGGAAACGTAAGAAAAAGAGAGAGAGTAGAAACGGGATTAAAGGTCTCGTCGTACGATCAATTGACGGGTCAAAAAGGTTTAAGCAGCGTGCACAAGGACCACGGTCTTTGGAGCTGGTTTAACGAGCGTCGCTAACGCGTACGAGTGTTTTCGCGATTGATGCGAGTAATGATTATTAGTTCATTAAAAAAACCGTGCCACGGTCGAAGGCCCACACTGTTCTTCTCGCGTTGTTGCCTCGTTTAATTATCGTCTTCTGCTAGCCTCTCGATGTTTAAATTACGAACCCATGACTTTATGCAATACCGGTAAGATCTATTTACATGTTAAACAGCTGAGAGGATAAGAAAAGTGCGTTGTATAATAATAACGATAAATTTATTTCTAATAAAATTGCAAATAGCGCGGTATAACGACACTTGTATAGAAAAGGACGACCGATCGAATAGATAGATTGTATTGTACATATGTATTATACGTTGTTCTCTTGGAGACGTCCTGCTGTTCCTGGCAACGATCCAGAAGCGTCGTTTTAAAGTCGGCGAAGCAACGTAGGGGACAACGTGTGAAAAACGCTTCCTCGATAGATAGGGGTGCCTTTATTTACACCCCATGTAGCCGGGTGGTCCGGAAGCGAATAAATCGAGAAGCACCCTCGTGGCATACTTTTTTCCCCTCTCTCTCTCTCTATCCGTCACCATCCCTACGACATTTCTTTTTTCTCCTTTTCTTCCGCGCTCTTCTCTGTCATTTATTTCGACAACGTCTTACGTGGAATCTTTTTATCCCGATAGCACGCGATAAGTTGCATAAATCATTCGTGTTTCCCAAGCCAGAAGAGTCTTTCGATGAAGATAGCTTTCAATGAAATTTCTATACTAAGGAAAATTTAAATAAAAAATTTTAAAAGAGCCCCTTCGATTCTGCGAAATTAAATGAAGAGTAACCTTCATTTAAATCCGGTTTGACGAACTTCAATTGAGACCCAAATTATATCAACTCAACTAGGTCTGTAACCGTCGGGTGTCATCAATTTGTTCCTTCTTTCCTCGAACTAATTATCCTCCATCGAGCTGTAATTTCCTTATAAGATAACTTAATGTTCCTCTCACAACACACATATGTGAGATTGATGAAAAGAGAATACTAGGTTTCGGAAACGGAAACATTACAATTCTTTGCCCGGCAAAGGCAGTTTAAAAAGATACAAGCCAGGCAACTTGCGGTCAATGATCCTCTGCTGGATCCTTGCTAGTTGCAGGTTAATCCTTACCAGTCCTACGTCTGATTCTTTAGTGCGTTTCGTTCCACTCAATTCTATATCTACAGTGGGTGATCAAATAATTAGAGCCATTCGCATAAATTGACGATTTTAGATAAAAATTCTTAAATGAAAACCTAGTTAAAGTTTTAAATGTACTTGTTTATTTTTATAAGTATTTTTCTGTATATGTATTATTAATGAAGGATTATTGATTAAAATTTCTACACAAACACGAAAAATCCATTTTTACATCAGCTCGACATTGAAGTCTATTATTTATAAATATATTAGACGATTCCTAAACAATAAAAACAATATGGTTCTCAAGGAAGATCAATTCGAAATTCTCTTCCTCGATATCCTCGATAATTCGTAATCCTGTTTGTCATCGCTTCGAAACGTTAATACAATTCGATTCGTGTTTCAGTCTTAAATGTATCTCCACGCTTGAACGATAAAGAAGAAATTCGTTAACGAGATAATTGTCGATCGCAACATCCAGTAGTATATTAACCACGATTCGCAATTACGATTGCGAGGGCAGATTGAAGATCCGGGTCAATGCATCCGAAAAATATATATTTTTCCACGAACGACGTTGAAAACTGTGCGTCTCAGCGAGAAAAGGGATGTATTTTTTCGCGGCGATAATTACGAACGAACCTTCTGTCCCCTTTCGTCATTCTATTTCTCTCTTTTCTTTTATTACGATCCGAGCATTGTGCGAACGAACGGCATTGTCTCGAGAGGAATCCTTTTGTCGGCCGTTTAGCAAGTTGGTCAGATCTGTACCTTGCATTCCATTCCAAACGGCAATGTCTTAATTGTAGGTCAATTTCGTGAACCATTGGCAGGCGCGAGTTGGCCGAAACGTTTCGGACGGTGATTTTTGAGAATAGACCTTTTATCATACAGAAGACGTCTCGACGAGGTGGTCCATATCTCGAGGTATCATCTAAAAGTAGAATTCCAAGCGGGAGATAGTCGAATATAACCGCGTGGGAATCGTTAGAACAGCTGAACTAGACGCGTCGCATTCGAACAGCGTCGGTTTAATTCAATTTTCGCCGCTCGTGATCTTATTCCCTCGCGTGAATTGAAACTTCTCTGTCTACCGACGAACGACAAGCGGATCGTACGCTGTTTCAGCATTTATCGGAGATATTTTCGTGATTTTTGTCACATCTCTATCGGCTGCAGATCGTATCGACGTATGTATGTAATTGGGGACTGCTGTAATTGCCAGGAATTCGAGATATCCCGGGGCAAATAGTGATTCGACCTAGAAATTCCTAGTCCCGTTATTATAGAACGTTAATCGTTTTAACTATGCTACTGAAATTTCATCGGTATCGGTGACTTTCACATTTCCTTGCAATTATTAAAATTCGATAAATAATTCGTTGAAATATACGGGCATGTCATGAATTTCATTCTCAGTTCAATAATATGCAATTAATAGACGCTTTGTATTATCAATTCGTTGGAATGCCGATGAAATAAATATGCAGGTATATACTTGGCGAATATATTTCTAGAATGTACTTCTCGATAGTCAATATTCACCGTGCAACGGTTGGACAAGCATATTGAATTCCAAAACGGCCGTTATGGTCTTTAACGATTCGACACACGAGCGCGTGGCCGACCATTACAATATCTAATGCGCCCCGGGCCCGAAAACCGAATTAATTCTAACCGGATATCGGTCAACTACCGGATATTCCGCTATTGGTAAAACATACGGTCGCCGCTTAACCGGAAGCTCCGTGGAAGAACCGTTTTACGGAAGCGCCAGTCCTTGCATCGCTTAATCGTTCTTTCAAATTGTAATCCTTCCCCACGAATTCCGATGTGAAAACTACTAACCATAAAATTCAAATATTTTATACCGCATGTTTTAACAAGGAATCCTATTTGGACATGTTAATTGCAGGATAACAGGAGGGCGTTTGTTCAAGGATATTCGAAAATGTGAGCCCGAGGATAGTACTCGCGTCGAAACATGAACGACGAAATAATCTTGAGAACTTTAACCAGTGCCGGTAACATTCCGTTTGTCGACGAGGATGGGGTGTCGGGCGTTGACCATCGTCGTGCTCGATCGAACCTTACGCGTAGAGAAGCGACGAGAGAAACCAGCACCGGTTTGAAACAGAGTCCTAGAAACAGTCAGCAGAGTTTCGCGAGCTTCCGTTCGATGGTTCAATCGAAAATCGTGCAAGAGGAAAGTGTTTCCGCGTTGCAGAAGGGTGCGATGCACGGACGGAAGGAGTCCCCTCAGTACAGACGGATGAAACAGTCACCATCTTCGCGAAGGGACAAGAACGACTCGGTTGAAACTGGTTTAGACGATCCTACCACTCTTCAACGCTACGAGAATGCCGTGTTGAGGTATCAGAAGCCGAAAACACGAGCCAAGAGACAGGCCAGTAGGGATCGTCAACAACAGCAACAACAGCAACAACAACAACAACCTAGCCACGGTTGCTCGAGCAGCGACGAGAGCGTAGCCAGGAACAAGTCGAAGAGCATCAGCTCGATCGACACGCAGTCGGTAAACAACATCCTGGACGAGTACGAGGATCTGGATTACAGGAGATCCTCGGACCTGAGCGATTCCGGCAGCGTGAACGTGTCGAACTTCGAGGCGGTCATGATGGATCAGCAGAAGAAACAACAGCAAGAAAAGACCAGGCTATCCGCGACGAGGATGCAACCGAAGCGTTCACCGGTTCGAGAAAGATCGCAGCCGGTACTGAAAGTGAACCAACAGACTCAAGTGAGACAGAGATCCAGGGAGAGACAAAAAGAAGCCGCGAAGCACGTCCCGTTGTCCCAAACCGAGGACAATCCCTCTTCTCGAGTTTCGCAGTTGACTCAGAGTACGGACGCCGGTAGGGTCAGAGTGCCGGAAGTGTTGCTCCGCAAAGGAGAGGTTCAAAAGAGGGTGGACGAGTGGTTGAGTCAGACCCAGAGTCAAAGTTACCCCGTGTCTCGGGAGAAAGCGTTGATCAGGTCGAACAGTAGCGCCGAGCAGAAGAGTCAGAGAAGGTACCGTCAGGATTCCAGGTCCAGGTCGATCGACGAGGGTAGGGACAAGTTAAACGGAACTTCGTCGAGTTACGACGACTTGAGCCGAGCGGATAGGAAGCCGGACAATCGTAGAGCGGAGAAAATAGCCGGGAACCCAGGTCGAGGATCGTACAAAGAGTATTTAGCGTCTAAGAACCGAAGCAAGCAACAGGATTACGGTTTCAGCGCGTCGACGAGCGTGATCGGTCGATCGAGGGACGCTAGCCCGTCGACCGGTTCCAGGATTCCTCAAAGAGGTCCGTTGAGCTCGAGTTTCCGCTCGAGACGATTGGAATCCGGTAACGATACCGGTCAAGCGGACAACAGCGTCGTGGAATCGGCGCAGCATTGCCAAGCGGAAAAGAACAGTCGGGTCAGAAGCGTAGCCGACAGCAGGTCGACGAATTTGGCGAAGACGAGAAACGAGTCGTTGGATCATGGTAGGATATGTGGGCTAACTGGCGCGGTAGCTACCGGTGTTGGCTCGTCTTCGTCGTCGGTGATCCCTTGCAGAAGAGCGTCGTTCAAACGCGCGCAGAATCACGATCAAAGCTCGACGAGGGCGCTCGTTAAGGAAGAGACGGGCCAGAGGACGAGAGGAGGCTGCGGTGGGACGTGCCCGAAGGGCCCCTGCAACCTTGGTGACCAAGGCGAGCCGATCTCGCCAAATAAGGAGGGAGAAAGTAGGCGGTCGGCTCTCACGAACGATTGCCAGCGTGATAAAGCAACCGATGCTGCGTGTAAATCGACGGAAGCGTCGAAGAGCGTCGATCGAGCTACGCGAGACGTTACGATCGAGTCTGCTAGACATCGCCAGGAGAAGAGGGAGCCGGACAGAACGGATCAGGCCAGACAGGAAAGCGTGTACGGAGTGGTAGGTGCTCGTGTTCGAACTCTTCAAGGTCAACAGGAGTGTCGCGTCGCAAAAACAAGGAATCCCCGAGGCGGTGCGATGCTCGCGGACGCTAGAAAGCCGCCGGTTCTACCGAGGAAGGATCAGACGGTCTGCTCGCAGGAAAGCAAGGATACGACGAAGAACTCTCCGCTCGTTTCGGTTCAATCCAGCTTCAAACCGAACAGTCGCGTGTACGCTACTCTTCAGCAATTGAACGAACAAAACTCGGTGAAATCAAGATCGACGGTTGGCCGACCGTTGGACAAGTCACCCGGCAGATCGCAGTACAGTTCGCCGAATCACGTGGAGAAGATTTACGAGCGCAGTCTGCAGCCTCAGGTGATTCACGCGGATGACCTCGAATCGATCCTACGACCCTCTTTGCAGGTTTCTGCTTACGGCGAGCCGGCTCGATCCGATCGCCACTCGCCTCCCGGAGAAGCGGTTACGCTCCTGCTGCAAAACGATCGAGAAGAAGAGGGAGAAGAAGAAGAAGAGGTTTACGAGCGAGTTGGCGAGCTACGGTACGAACACCTGGAGACTATCGAGGAAGACGATCGAAAAAGCGAGGCATCCGTTTACCCAGAGATCGGGTTGAGCCAGTGTCTGAAGATTCAGCAGGGTCTGCCGAACGGAAGGGATCGACCGAGCGAACCTGCCAGGACGTTCGTCACGTTTCACTCGGCTGGATCTCCTAGAGCGAACCTGCAGCCGAGATCGGCGTCGACCGGTTCCTACGAGATGAACGAACACGAGGAAAAACGCGAGGTCGACGTACCGATCGTCATCCTGGACGACCTTGAGATCCCATACGATTCCGGGAACCAAGGGGACAGAGGTCAAGCGTGTCACACGAGGGAGAACAGCGATCTATCGACGGCCACTATTCCTCTGGACGAGCTGGAGAGTGAAAGGCAACTGGCAAAGTTCAAGGTCGTCGAAGACGAGTGTACTCGTTCGAAGGAGATGGACAACAGGACAATGGAGGCCAGATTACGGCACAGTGTTACGGAGGAGAAAGCCGATAGAACGGTGGAAAACGAGAGAAGCAACTCGAGGGAGATGGACGGTGGCCGCGTGTCGGTGAACGAGGTGTTGCTGAAGAATCTTCAATTTAAACAAGATCTACCGAAGGACTCGGCGGAACGGGTAACCGGTGACTCGTATAAAATCATCGAACATGTGCAGAGACCGATCGGTTTTCATAACGTTCTGTGCGACGATTACGAGAACGCGCGAGACGCGAGGTTCAAGGAGAACAAAGTGTACGTGACGAAGGAAGAGATGGAGCGGCAGAGGTTGATGGACTTGCTGAGGAAAGGCGACTACGAATCGGCCAAGATGGTGAGTGATGATTCGATCCTTCTATGCTTTCATTTTTTCATGCTTTCCTTCTTTCGATTTAACGTTGCCGACCGACTTACTCGGACTTCCAATTGTTCTACCAACTTTTATCTAAAGATAATTGCACGGTATACCCGAGGTGCTTGTCACTTCGCTATTTTATTCATTACAGGCTATATTTCAACGATTCTGATATTTTTATATTGGAAATTATATAGCGAGATTTGGTACGGTAACATTAACTCGATAGCGTAGTTTCTAGTTATTTTTATGGGACGATAATTGTTAGGTGTTTGATACCTGTAGCTGTTTTATTCTACATCAGCTATATTTCAACGATTATGATATTTTTTTACCATAAATATACCGTAATATTTGGTGCGGTCGAATAACTGGACGTTAACTTAACGACACGGATCCTGGCCATTTTTATGGGGTGATAATTGTACGATATTCGTATATGAGGAATACCGTTAAGTGGTATTAAGTGTTTAACACCTGCGACTGTTTTAGTCGTCATGAACCATGATTCAATGACTATCATATTTTTTTACTCTGAATTGTATAGCGAGATTTCACACGGTCGAGTAACTCGAACGTTAACTAGATCGGGGTGGTTCAATCGATTCTGGTATCTCGATCACTTTCGAGTTCATAGATTTTCGCGAATCGACAGTGTCACGGTGTTTCTAGCGGCGTTAACTGGTTTCGTTTTAATTCGATACAAGATAAGCTTCGGCGGAAAGATATGGCTGACAGCAAACCAATAATTACATTCGTTCGTTCTATCGACTGTACGTACAGGGTGTAGAAATAAACAAAGAACAAGAAAATTCATATAAAATGGTTAATCGAACAAAGATTTAACTAGATGAAATGCCCTAGTTGCAAGCAACGTCAGAGTTTGCTGGCTTTTAATATTCAAAAGCGTTCGATCATCTTTTGTTTCCATGTGTCAACAGTTTCAATACCATCAATTCTGGCAGGCTTCCAATATTTAAAAACTCGGTGGTAGAATAAAGGTATCCTAAATGAATTTTAAATATGAACATAGCTTTTATATCAGTTCAATTAGACACCCTGTATGCGCGGTGTTTCGCATGCCGAGTCAGTGATTCTTCCAATAATAATTACAAGTTGAAATTAACCGAGATACGGTTCGAATCGTCGTTTATCTGCGATCGGGCGATACATCGAATCGCCATTACGCGGGTAGCCTCTTCTCGCCGTTTCGTTGTCCGCGTTCCTCGTTCCCGGCTATCTGGCTGATGTAATCCGAAATGGATTTCGAACTTCGTCGAATTTTCCCGCGAACGATTCCGACGAAGCGTGTAAACCGACCGAACTACGATACAATGGAAGATAGTTTGTTCCGACTTCGCGTGAAATTCGCCGAGCTTCTAATTATGTAACGATGTTTCCGCGAGCGCCGCGTTAATTTTCACGCTGGCGAATAAAGTTAGTTAACTCCGAAAGCCGGTCCGTTACGAATTCGTCAAATTTAATCCGTGAGTCGTTACACGGGTGTGATTGGACGTACGAGGATCGGGTAATAACAGAAACGAGCGTGGAAATAGGGTGGGTATCGTCCGTGGAAATGGTTGCTCGTGGTCGGTGTTCGAGGTACGCGATCTCGAGACACGACTTGCCGTAAGAAACCGGTGGCGGCGGTAAGGTGAAAGAGAAAGAGAAGTACACGATTTATGATTCAGTCGGGCTTGGGAACGGAGCATTAGGTATGCGGTTCATAGTGCGCTTTAACGCGCAAGAAAGACGCGATAAATTGTAGCACGCGTGCTAGTACGTCTGCTCGAGTCCACAGGGAAAACGCGAGACTCGCCCTTAACGAGGTTTTAGCCTCGCGTTGCTTCTTTCTTACCTTCTTGTTGCCTGCCTTCCTCAAGGACACCGTGAATTTAATTTTCTTTCTCTTCTGTTTTGCGACAGCTTGCTCGTCGCGTACACCTTACGAAATTGTAACATACGATGTTACGCTGCCTGATTCGAGATCCTTAATCCTTCCCCTTACGAGAAATTTCTTTCTCTCACGCTTGGCCGCAAACGGCAAATGAAATTTCAAACTGACCATCGGGGAACGAGTTAAGATATAGAAAATGATGTGTACATCGCACGATCGTCTCGTATTCCATCTTTGTATCGATTACCCTGGATGAAGACTTACGAGTCCGCGCTCGTAGGGAGGAGTAACGAATATCCGTGTATAAATTGCCCGATCACCGATAGCGTGGCCGAACATGAAAGTACAAATGACCATCGTCGAGCTGTATCAGTTTCGTGTTGTTTATTAGAGTCATGAAACGAGCGGTGGCAACAATTCGGATGGTTGTACTCGCGTACGATACGGTTGGCGAGCTACACGAACCCGGAATCGATCGATCAACCATCTCCGGAAGTAATGAATTTCTCTTTAAAACATCGTTCCACCAGGGACTTAGCCATCCTCCATCTGCTGTTGATTTAACCCTCCTTCGGATTATGGAACAGCAGCTCTGCTAATCTTTAAACTAAGCAGCCTCTAATTCGTGTTAACATAATTATTCGAAAATTTATGTGGAATAACGTCTTATGTATTCAATCCCTTATCGGATAATTGTCCTAATTGAATGATCAACGAGGAGCGTTCTGGAATTTCGAATTCCGTAGCTGGTTTTTCGTAAGTGGCTACCCGCCGCCAATTAATCCGAACCGGGAACACGCGTGCAGCTGCATATATAATTTTGAACCCGACGCATCGAAATCAGCCGAGGATTAATCGAGACGCATTCTGTCAGGGACAGGACGCCGTGTACGTATAACACGCGGCCGAACAGGATCGATCGGTGCACGTGCAAGCATCCATAGGAAAGCTTCGCAAAGATTTTTCTATGAATTTAAAAGAATCTGCAAAGAAATTAACCCTTTCCACTCGTATGTCGCCGTACAGTCGCCATCCTACATTTTATTATACATGTATTCTTCTCATTTTTTCTACTAAACCGGCAAGATAAATTGTAATATGTTCCCATAAAAATGTTTTCATTTCGATCGAATATGGAAAACAAATTCCAAGTTGATTGGTAGCCTTCTGAAATATAAATACGAGTGCAAAGGGTTAAAGTTCGAACAACTTAGCCCTGAAAGTAAACATTCTCAATCAACCGATCACCTACGTTACGAAACTTCTCTTTCACTGGACATCTGCTGTTTCTACAGTTATCTCTTGCATCGATGAAATATTAACACCCCAAGATCCACAGTTTACTCGCAGCAGGATAGAATGAAGCCTCTTGCTACCGAAATTCATCAAACTTCCAGATCGGTTACCGTCTCCGGCTCTTCAAACTTTGAGGGATCAGCCGGCTGACGATCGACGATCGCCCTACCAGACACTTACCCACCCGGGGAATCACAACGGAATTAATCGAGTCATAAATTCGCGTACGATGTTGTTGCATATCGTCGCGAACAATACAGGTATTCGAGGTGTACTCGGTGAGATACGCATAGCTGGACGTAGCAGGGGTTGCATCGATATTGCGTGTAACGTGCAGAAATGCATATACGCGAGACACCGTTGACGCATACGAGCGTGTCGCTGCATACGGATACAGGGTGCATAGGATGCCGCGTGTTCTCCAAGCTCCTCGATCACGAAAATTTACGAGCTCGCGCTGATATTCGCGATCCTTCCAATATGACGACCAACTGCCGAGAGTTTATCGTCCTCCTTGAATTTTCACGCGAATTCGGGGAAGATTGATCGCGTATTCTGAAGGATGTCTTAGAAAAGACTACTCATTTTTCCTTTTGATTTCTTATGGTGTTCCTTTGACGATACAAACTCGAGGGAGTAAATTCAGTCAAAGTCGGGAAATAACATCGAACACAGGAGCTCGGACAATAGGAAAGTCAGAGGTTTCACGAGTTTGTCAGCGCGACGCTTTCTCTTTAACGTCGCGGAAATTTTCTGTCAGCGTCGATCTACGCGTTTCACCGCTCGTCGGAGAAACTCCTTTTCCTTGTCTCCAGTGTTTTGTCACGGTATCGAGGTTCTCTTCGATTGAGATCCAATGAACCGAGCAGCCGATGCTTCGGGACATCCACTGTGCGTGGCGCTCGAAGCACACTCGAGACTGCAGGTGTCATCCTTTTGTATCCGCCGATGGATTTCTAAAGGATATTCTATCCTTTTGCTCCGAAAAAGCCTCTCGTTCAACCTGTCCTTTATTCTACCATCCCCCCCTCAGAACTCGCCCTCCGTTGCTCCCTGAATAATTATTAATTCATTAACGATTTCATTCGAGCGCTAATTATTTCCAGTCCCTCTGTTAAAGGGAACGTTAATCGAAATTACCTTTCGTTTTTCGCGATGCTTTATTATGTTTTATGACGCCAATTTAAACTTTAATATTTTTTATTAGGGTTTCAGTTATTTCTCCCCATTTTTCGTGTCAATTACCAAATTGAAAAGGGGCAACTTTTATTGATTAAAAATCACATCAACGAATGTACTTTCTCTATTCGAAACAAAGTTGCCGGAAATTCGCAAGCGTGCTCGATATTAAATTATTCGAACTTCTAATGGGTACATTAAGTTTTAATTACATTGATTCGAACCCGGTTAGTTATGTGCGCTGTTAATAAACACGACGAGGTATAATTTAAAAAAGTTTATCGCTTGTATTAGTCGTTCGTTAGACTTTGATCGTAAAAACGTGGAACTCCCTTTAACGACAGAAGATTGGAGAACAAAATTGCTTCCTATAAAAAGCACCCGATACTTTCTTTTCGACATGTTTGATCCTTCGTTTAAATTTGTCGAAGTATTATTACCGATTAACAATGCCGATGAACAAAGGTTCGGCCGCGAAGATTAAAGGAACGGGAAAATATAAATTTGATAATACAGAACGTTTTGTCGGGCATTCAGTTGAATAATTTTAATTCTCCCGACTGCTCCTCGTGAAATATTTAAATGGATTATCTATGGCGAACGGTTA